AGATGCTGTATGAGCAGTGGCGTTTCTAGGTGTACAAAACTGGGGGGGCAGAAAGAGGTCGGGGGAGAGAGAGAGAGAGAGGGGGGGGACAGAGAGAGGGAGGAGAGAGAGAGGGGGGACAGAGAGAGGGGGGGAGGAGAGAGAGAGGGGGAGTGTCAAATTACATACTGAAGACCACAGGAGCAACACTGTGAGCGCATACATTTACGTACACAGCGTGGGGATGTCATAGTAATGCACCTTCATACATGGAGTAAAGGTCACCATCACAAAGTAATTCTTAACAATAACAACAACCGTAATGCTTTAGCATTAAAACACCATAGACTGTAAATATAAGGAAAACACAGACACTCATCATCGAGGTCACAATATCAATCGATCCAGCAGAGGCAAAACACAGAAGATCAACAAAATATATGACATAAATGAACTTACCAAAGCTGAAGGCTCACTTGAAAAGAAAAGCGGCACGGCGGTCCTTCCTCTGACAGAATGTGTCTATCACTTTGGGGATGAAGTCCTGTAGTTGCTGGATCAACTGGCTTTCAATTGAAAGCATGGCCAATGCGTTAAGTCGCGGCTGTCCCATGGTGTTGCGAGTGAAAGTCTTTATCCTTTTGAGGGTGGAAAAGTTCCTCTCTGACTCGGATGTCGTCATCGGAGTTGTCACTATTATTTTGACCAAAATAACAGTCTCAGCAAACGTTTCCTCCAAGTTGTTCTCGTGAATGGATTTCAACAGAGACAGGGCAGTGTTTCCAGTGTGAAGCTCACTGTGGCGGTAGAGCGTGGTCAGCTCAGACTTCAACTTCTCCTTGTTTCCCAACGCAGGCCACAGTTTCACGGCGCAGTCAAGCTCAGGTGTAGGAAATGACAGGACATGCTGTGGGAAGAATGAGCTGTCAACAAGCTTTGCAGCGATCAAATGGTCACTCTGTGAGAACCTCTGTTCCACCTGTGAGATGACTGTGTCACAAGCCTCCTTCATCACCGGCGCTGTGCTGCTGACTCGTCGGCCTGGCTCGTCTGTTCCATCATGAGCAGTGGCGGCCAATGCATCAGTTTTCTGCCTCATTTTCTGAACATTTTCCTTGAAACGGCAGAGCGCGCTGTTGATCCCAGGTGCATCGATGCTTCGTTTTTGCAGAGTGTTGTATAGAACATCCACTTCTGGCATAAGCAACGAAAAAAAACTCCAGGAGCTGCATAAATGCTCGGTCCCGCAGTTTCTTTGACAGGCCGTATGCCTCACTTATGGTGACCGCATCCCATCCTGGTTGTGCGCGTATATGCTTCATACACTGAAGTAGTGCATCTCGGGTCTCCCAAACCGCGTTCACAGTTCTGCTTTTAAAGTTCCATCTCACAGCCGGTGGCCGTGGATGCGTCTCTGTGTTGCCTCTGCAAGAGCTGCAACACGTTTTGGAGCACCGGAGAAAAAAGTGGAAAAAGCAGTTAGATCTGCAAAAAACACCTTCAGGATGCTCATCCTTGCTGAACACAGTTGCTGCAGGGTCAGGTTCAGTTGGTGGGCGTAGCAGTGAACAAACTGAGCGTTTGGGTACGTCTCCTTCATCACCGTCTGTACCCCGCGCACGTTACCGCTCATGACGGCCGCCCCGTCATAGGTCTGAGCGATTAGCTTTTCTTTCAGCTTCAGGGGTTCCAGAACAGCCTTGATGCTGTTAGAGAGACCTACACCAGTTTTGTCCTTTACTTCCACAAACTCCAAAAAACGCTCTGTAACTGTGAGGTCAGGCATAATGTATCGCAGCACAATCACCATTTGCGATTTACAGGAGACATCGGTTGTCTCGTCGGCCTGAACGGCAACAAATGATGTGTTGTCCACTTGCTTGGCTATTTCCTCCCTGTACACATCATACATGCAGTCCAAGAGTTCATTCTGTATGGTGCTTGATGTCCCTTTGAAAACAAGCTGAGCTTCGTAGTGCCGTTGAAGCCTGGAATCGCCCTCACACATTGTCTCGAAAATTGACCTGAATATCCCTGGATTCAGAGAGTCCGCCGACTCGTTGTGGCCCCGCAGTGCTGTCTCACATTTCCCACACAGTTTAATACAGGTGATGATCCGACCAAGCACGTACCTGTTTTCTTCCACCTTCCTATTATGAGAATCAATGCCGCGTCTGTAGGCGCTGTCAATCTGAGCTGCAACATTCACCCTTCCAAGTAATCCCAATTTTACGGCATTTTCCAAATGACTGTTGCTGCTCTCATGCTTCATTGTCCTCTCCAAAAGATGCTTTAAGTCCTTGTAACCAGTGCTGGAATTGGGCCGGTACTCACCGGTACGCAGTACCGGCACTTCTGGTTCTGACCCATGGAGTACCGGCACTTCTTGCTCAGTACCGGCATGCTGGCGGTACTCCGGTACTCATGCACCGTGCCAGTACTCAACACTCTCCCGCCGTTCTTATTATACATCCATATATATATATACAGCCGCCCGGTACTCAGTAGATGCGTCATGAGGTGCCGAACGGACATTCTCATCGCTCTAACCGCTGGAGTTTCACAGCGGCTGTCAGCTGTTTACTCCTGTCATTCAAACAGAACGTGCTGGAGAGGGGGCGGGGCTTATCTTCTCCATGTAAATACTGTGGTGGAAACGACTATGTCAAAATTAACCTATTTGACCGTGATTTAATAGTAATACACGTTTCAAAATAATAATAATAATAATAATAATGCCGAAGTAACAACATACTGAAAACTGTTAGTAAAACCATGTTTTAATGCTTTACAATTTACATACCTAGATGCACGTGTGTTGTGTTTATGCAGTGCAACTCCCACCCAGTGGGTGGCTATGTAGAGTGATAGAACAGAGCAGGCACGCCCCCGAGAGAAGGAAAGCAAGTCACGTCACAAATTAGCATTTCTAAAATGTTAGGTGGATTAATAAAAGTGCAAAAAGACAACGGTTGTCGCCGGAAGAAACTTCAAATACAGAGAATGCTGTGCCTGTGTTGGAAATTGTGTCTGATGGGGAGCTTTCTTTGGTTGATCCTCCTGCTCCAAGTTCTAGTGCATTAGCATTAGCACTAGCTCCGCCGCCTCCTCCAGAGCCTCTAACGTTAGCTGCTGCTGGCGCAACTGCCACCACCAACACCGGGCAAAGCGATGCACCTGACTGCTGGACAACGGACCAGGTTGCAATATTTTTGCAAGACCAATGCATGGCTCCTTCTTAAAGATAAGAAGCTAGGATGTCGGATATGCAGAGATGTCAAATCTTTGGGAATACACACTGGACAAGGACTGAAACTGTCAACTGAATGGGGTGAGTGTGCAGTGTCTCATTTCGGTGTTGACAAGGGCAAACAACAAGCTAGCCTGAGAAAAAAAATCAAAGAACATAAAGAATCACAAGCCCATGTAAAAGCTGCTGACATCCTTACATCTGCTTCACGTGAAACTATTCAACATCAAGTGCAGTCTATGCATAAATCTGAATTAGACACCACTATCAGAGTTTTTTCGAACGGCATATAAAATTGGCAAACATAGCCGGCCATTCACAGACATGCCAATTGATTTGAATGTACAGAAACTGAATGGGCTGAACGTGGGCAGGGTTTTGCACTCCAATAAAACCTGTGGCGAAATCATCGACCACATAGCTCATGAGCTGAAGAAAAAAATGGCAAAAGACATTACAGAAAACCAAAGAAAACTCTGTGTTTTGGTCGATGAATCTACCACTATTAGTGGTAAAACGGTGCTTGTTGTGTGTCTACGCTCAGCATTAGCTGATGCTGAGCCCGAAACGTTTTTTTGGGAGCTGATCGAGTTGGATGGAACAACGGCTGATGACATCACAAAGGCGTTAATGGAGTGTCTTGGAAGAGATTTTAACGAGGACTTTTTAGGTCAGTGTTTCGTTTCTTTTGCATGTGATGGGGCTTCAGTCATGCTAGGGAAGAGAACAGGCGTTGCTACCCAGTTGTGTAGTAAATTCCCAAGCCTGTTTGTGTGGCACTGCTCCAATCATCGTCTAGAGCTGGCAGTTGGGGATGTGGTCAAGGAGGTCTCAGGGCTCAATCATTTCCAGATCTTTTTTGACAAACTCTATTCCTTGTTCCATGCCTCCCCCAAAAATCAGAGGCAGTTAGCGCAGTGTGCGCAAGCAGTCGGACAGCGTCTCCTGGTGATAGGGCGTGTTTTGTCCATCCGCTGGGTGGCTTCAAGTGAAAGGAGCGTCAGAGCAGTCTGGGAAAACTACCGAGTGCTTCATGATCACTTCACAAATGCTGCAAACGACACGAGCAGGGATTCCAGAGACAGAGCAAAGTACAAGGGCCTGGATGATGTGCTCACATCTGCAACGTTTGTCAGCAATCTGGGACTGATGTACGATGCGCTCACAGA